CTCCCCCCTCGCCACCCCGCCCCCTGGCCAAATAACTACCCTTGAACCACTTTATTAGCCGCACTTGGCCCCACACTCGCTGCGGGGAGGGGCGGGGGACGGGGTCCGTCGCTCACCTTTATTTATTGCCGCTCTCGCCCCCCTCTCCATGTTTTTTATTCCTAAGTTCTTTTGTTCTAAGGGGGATGATGGCATTTACTTTTCTGCTTTGTGTAGCAGGGCAGTCGCGGGGAATCGGCCACGTAGAATCCGGCGGTTTGTCATATTTTATTAGTGAAAGTATTTTATGCCTATTCCACCTCCGAGGACTGGAACATGGAGAACTGCAGGGAGGGGAAAGGGGAGAAAGAAAAAAAAAATCAGGAGAATTCTTGTTTTGAGAGATTTCTTGGCGGGGTGGGGGAGGGCCTTTTTTTTTTTTTTTTTTTTTTTTTTTTTTTTTGGAGGGGGTTTATGGAGATTTTTTAATCGATAGTTTTCAACTTAAAGCTTCACGGTTTTGTGTGGATGTGCTGCTGGATTCTAAAATAACCTCCGACCACAATAAATTTTTTAAAAGTCAAAAATCCTAGATTTAAAAAAAAAAAAAAACCCTACTGGTCAGTGATATTATCTGTTCTGTGCAGCACGTTTGACTTAATATAGTGTCGGCCTTCGAATGTTAAATAACAATAAACCCCAACCTCAACTGAATACAAATGGGGGGGTGGGGGTGGTTTTGTTTTTAAGGCTCAGCACTTTTGCAGCGTCTGCCACTACGCATTTTCCAGGCATTGATTAGCCATGCAACTCCCATAGGCATGAAGTCCAGTTTTTGCAGATAAAGAGCAACAGTGGTGAAATGATTTGCCCAAAGTCAAAGTGAGTCATTCGCAGAACCAGGAATAGCCTTGGACTTTATTTGTTACTCCTCACATCTTTTCCGTTAAATAATATTTCCTCCAAGAAATAGTTATTTAAAAATAGACACTCTTTACCTTGTTATGTATATTCGCCAAAGGTGCTTTGAGATCATCGGATATGAAGGTATTTCCTTACTCCTGCAAATTTAAGTTTAGCTTCTCAAGAAAAAGCAATTTTCAGAAATTCTGACTTTTTTGAAAATAAAGTATGGACTTTATTGTACATGTGTAGGCCATTTAGTAGTCTGAGCTTTATGTTAAAAAAAATTCACAGCAGTGAAAGTGTAAGAGTTTGAGAGCAAAAATGAAAATTCCTATAAATGATTCAAGAAGCCTGGATGAACTCATAATGTTGTGAAACTAAACCCATAACACAGTCAAGATGAATAATGGAAGGACAGGTTGGGTAGTAAGACCCAGTTTTACCATCTAGAGATAACTCTAACGTATTTAAAATGAGGAAGGGAGGGGGCTTTCAAGCTGGACCACTAGTCACTGGAACCATAATCTAATGGTATCATTTCAGACCATCCCAGGCTGTCAACATATTTTTAAAGGAAGAAAGCGTTAGCATTCTTTCTGGAAAAAAGTTAAATTTTTTTCAGAATTTCACAGACAAATATTCAGAGGCTCGAGTTGGATAAATGCTATAGAACAGAGGTCAGCAAACTTTTTCTATAAAAGCCCAGGTAGTAAAAACTGTACATTTTGCACATCGTACAGTCTCTGTCACAGCTTCTCAACGCTATGCTATTGTAACACAAAAGTATCCATGTAAATGAATGTAAACAAATGAACCCGGCTATCTTCTAATAAAATGTTTATGGGCCTTGACATCTGAATTTCATGTACGTTTCATGTGTCATGAAATATTCTTTTGATTTTTTTCAATTATTAAAAAAATATATTTTAAAAAACATTCTTAGTTTGTGGGCTCCACTAAACCAGGCAGTGGGCAGGCTTGGATTGGTGGACTGTCATTGCTGATCACTGCTATAAAGGACTAATGTTGACTAACCACTGAACTTGTATAAGAGGGTGCTTGGTTATTAAGATGTGTGTGCAGTAATCAAAAATCAATGTCATGCAAAGTTGTCTTCCAGATGTTTATACTTCAATTAAAATATTTTTCACTGAATATAGGAGTGTCTAACAGTCCTATAACTGCCAAACTTTATGGAAAAGAATACTCGAGCTTGTGATTCCTACATATTCTATTATATACTCTTCCTTACCCTAAGATAGTAAACAGGAGTGGAGCCATGCAGACCCAGATTCTGATATTTAAATATCACTCATTTTCAGTTAAGGCACTTTGGGCAAGTTACTTAACTCTCAGATCCTCAGTTTTCCCATCTTGTAAGATGCAGCTATTAATACCTACTTTGTAGAGCTATGGAGGAGATTGAATGAGATAACTCATGTAAAGTGTTTAGCACAGTGCCTGGCACGTAGAGCTGCAGAACATCTTTCCCTGTGGCCTCAAATTCATTTTCTGAGTTAACTGGAGAAGGTGATAGGTGGCATCCCAATATGTTGACAGTGAAGATGTGGCATGTAGGGTTCAGGGAGTCTTGGTTTGATTGAAGGTTGTGAGGTTGGTATTGTGGTCCATTCTGGTGGGTCTTTCTCAAGCTCTCAGCATCTCTGTGTGCCTGACACAGACTACTTGGTAGACCACACACTGGTTATGTGGTCTTAGACAAAGCACCTAGGCTTACTGAACTCTGGTGTTTCTTATATATAAAATAAAGAAAATACCTTGGGGGGGTTGTTGTAGGGCTAAATGGCATAGTGCTAAAGGAAGAAAAAGATAACAATTGGTATGTTAGTGAAAATCCCGGAAATAAGTTGAAAATCGAGAGTTTACCATCAAAGCCTGCTTTGAGGGACATCATTCAAAGTTTAGGCATGAATGACATAATAATAGCAGGTGCACAATAACTTAGAATTTGCTCTCCTGTCCACCCAAACCATTTAATTGCCATCAAAACCTTGTGGAACAAAGGCAAAACTCAAATTTTGAATGTCACCGAATATCAGATCTGCAGTTTTTAATTTTTGTAAAAGTAGTCAAATATATCAGTTTTCATATATATTTCTAACTTCTTTTCCATGCTCCAAGAGGTCATCCAAATTTCAAGAATAGAAGAAAACTTATAATTTTCTTCTTGTATTTTTACGGTTTCTGTTTTTTTTACGTTTGCCGTATTACATTTATATATATAAATATTATATATTTATATATATATATGTAATACGATAAATGTAATAAATATATATGTAATATATATATGTACATACATTATTATATACATATATATATACACATATATATACACCTATATATACACACATACATACTATATATATATATACACACACCTATATATATGTGTGTGTGTAAGATAGGAGGTAGGAATTTAAATAACCTTTGTCCAATCAAAAGTATTTACTAAATATTGGGATTTTGTTGGATAATGTAAAATGTCATTAAAAATAATAAAACAGCTAACTCCCTCTAAAGACTGTCTGTCTAATGCAGAGACACTATAAATGTGGAACACATATAACAGGCATTATGCATTATAATATTATACAATGGTTTTATATGCTTTATAATAGAGAATGAATAAAGAAATTCTTCAAAATTTTCTTATTTTACAGTTTTGTAGTATCACAGAACACACCCATACCCATGGATATTAAAGTA